AGAGAGAGAGAGAGAGAGAGAGAGAGAGAGAGAGAGAGAGAGAGAGAGAGAGAGAGAGAGAGAGAGAGAGAGAGAGAGAGAGAGAGGGAGGGAGGGAGCAGAGCAAACGGCTTTAGCATGTTCTTTTAAGTAGTGTATCTCCTCGTTTGACATTTGGAGAAAGAATCCTGCAGTGATGATGTGACATTTGTTCCCGTGACCTCTTAATCAATAGGGTTGTATTTGCTCGCTGTTCTGTACTGTGGGATGTGAAGGTAGGGTATTGGACCAATGAGCAAGTTTTCTTGCACGAGATAAACCTTCTAGGGAGAGTAAGCCACCCCTACTTGGTGCAGCTTTTGGGATTCTGCAATGAGGGAAATCAATACTTCCTAGTCTATGAGTACATGCCCAAGGGTGCCTTAAAGGACCATATTCTCATCAGTGAAGGTGAGAAAGATTACTGCCTTCTTTTTTTTGCTATAATAGTCAATGTTTTTGCATGGGGATTTTGATGGGAACAAGTACGCGTTCAACTCCCAACTCCGAGATTCATTCATCCATGTCTCCTCTCCACACATGAGACACGTCACCCACGATTGCCGTCACGTTATGTATAAATAATCTCATATCTGACTTCTAAGATTCTATATCTCATCAATTCACAGACTAGTGTTTTTTTAACTTTTTTTTTTTCATTTCCCTCTTATATATTCGTGGGGTGCAGCATGTGCTGGGACAGAGTATAGCTTTGTTTCGCCTGCGAAAACAGCACTTCTTTATCGTTTTTGAAATTTGAAACGACTGCGGCAGCACCGTAAATTTTAGTGTTTTTTTTTTTTTTCAATCCAAAGTTCCAAACACGTTTTTGCAGTGTAATTGCCGGTCGAGGTTTTGAATGCAGTTTGGCCGCGCAGGTTTCGGCAGCGTTGTGTCACTGTCCACCTCAGTGTAGGCGCTGAATGATCCTTCACTTGCCACAGGAAAGATTTCAGCCGTTCGATTTATGAGATGGAGCGGGTGAAAATTTTCACGCATCAGGGCCAGGGCCTAGGCCTAGGCCTTGGACCACGTTCAGTTTGACAGATTGAGTGCCTGAAATATTTCTCGTGGCAAGTTAAGGGCCAGGGCCTAGAAGGACTGGGGAAAGAGGCAAAGAGGGCCAGTCAGTAGTACCGTCTGAACCTGGCCGTGATTTGGGCCACAGTCTGACTGCCTTGGCCCCTTGTGCTTTGGCCACGGTCGAGATCTCTCGACCATGCCCGATGCGGCATTTTTTCCGAAATCTACGCGGACTGGACTGCATTTAATAATACTCCGCTGGCAACTAGCCTTGGAAAACCCTTCTGTGTTGTCTTTTTTTTTAAAGACAGACTGCAAAAACCTGTTTTGATTGACAATCGAAACTTGACTTTTGATGTGGCCATAGGTACGTCTTGCTTTTTTTTTTTTTTTTCGAGTACAGAAAGTTAACCCCTCTACCCCATTAGAATCCATAGAAAAGTTCTGTTAGCCTCAGAACACAACATTCTTAACCCCCCCGAGGCCCCCGCAAATGGTCATGGCACTCGCTCTTACACTCAAATGGAGACCTGAAATACAATTTGCTGATCATATGCTCCCCCCCGCCTTTTGCCCAAGTAAAGAGACCTGAAAAAAACGATGTTGCTTGCCATTTTAGGACGTCAAATGTATTCTGGATCTTGTCAGCAAATGTCAGAATTGCCTGCCTGTCTTGCAGAACTTCTGTTATTAAGTTTCTTTTTTTTTTTCTTTTTTTAAGAACACAGCTTTATATTGGCTGGCAAAAGATGTTTTTGAAACGGTTTTCACCTTTTGCAGTCACAGATGCGGATCCCAGAGTTCGATCCCCAGACCTTACCTTACCTGTGCACAAGTATCAAGTAAGTCGACCCTGTGAGTCTTGAACCTGTGACCTGCGTGTTAGTAGGTGAGAGTTGTCTGTCGTAGGTCTGAGTAGTTGTCGGGTCTTGAACCTTAGACCTGTCGAAGTAGGGGTCATACCTGCATAGGGGTCATAGTTGTTGTAGTTCTGAAAGGTCAAGATCGTAGCTGCTACAGTCCTGAAAGGTCAAGGTCGTAGCTGCTACAGTCCTGAAAGGCCAAGTCCGCAAACTTTCGGAAGGTCCGGAAGTGGCCTTGCAAGTTTCTTCTCACATTTTACACAGCAGACCAGAGGCAAGTGGGCAAGTGGTGAGTCCAACTTCGCTTAGTCAGCGTTACCCAGTCCCAGTCTTACTTTGCACAGTCAGCAAGTACCATGAGGGATTGTGTGCACCATGGGCCCGGTGAAAAAGGGCAGACCAACGACTTACAGAAGTATAAATCAAGAGGCAGCGCCCAGCCATTCATTCATTCCGGCGGAAGCCATGCGGAAGCGCTGCCTGAGCAGCTTGTGTGAGGTGGTCTGCAAGATGCCCGCGGTCGAAGTGGGCTTGAAGGAGACAGTGCGCTATAGCTGGCAGCCATAGCCGCCATAGTTGGTGCTAGGTGTTGGTGTGTGGGTACATATGAGTGAAACAGTGAACGTGTGTGGGGTATTCAGGGTGATCCAGAGTTGAGTATGTGTGAACGGTGGTATGAGACACAATGCGAGAGTTGGGATGTACAGGCACGGATGCGCCATAGCCTGTTGAAGCGAGTTTGCATCTGAAGTTCTGAACTTTGTTCTCGCCTTGCATATCTCTGAGCTTTGTGTGGGCGCACAGCGCCAGTGTGGATTGCCATCGGTTTGCATGTATGCGAAGTGAGAAGAAGCGAGTCTGATTGCATTTTTTGTATAAATAAATAAATAAATATTAAATAATCAATTGCAGCGAGACCTCTCGTTCGATGAGCCGGCCAGCCCGTGGCTGGGTCGTTACGTACTGGATGGGAAAAAGACTCAAAAAGTTTGGTTCAACGAATTAGGCCGCCATGCTTTCAAAGTACCCACGTCCTGCTAACCTATTCGGAATATCCGGCTCTTAAATTACGGAAAAAAAAAGAGAAGAATAGGTGGGCTAGAATAAGCTCCATAGGTGTACATGTTAATGCCATTGGACAGGTCATGAGTTCAACTCCAGACGGAAATGAACTTCAACTGAAACCTTTTTTTTTTTTTTTTTTTTTT